TAGCCGACTCACTGATGTTATTTTCGTGATACTGATTACTAGTACGAGTGGAAGGTTCGTCTTCTTTGTTAATTACGCTAGCGGGATTGAGGGCTTTGTTCTCAACATCACTCAGTTGGGGTTCATCTAAAAGAATTAGTGAATCGCCTGATGCGCAGTCTTTGTTCTCATGGAATTGGTTGTTTACAATAGAGGGTGATTTACAAACGTTGTTAGCAAAGCTAATTGTACCACCAGTATTGTTTTCCTGATTGTTATGAGATGCGGCAGGGATTAAATTTATAAAAGATTGTAATTTCGACTTAAAAAATGTATTATCCTCGTAAAGTTTGCATATAATTTCATCTTGTTTTCGGATAGTGGCTTCAATATCCCGTCGGTCTTCCATAGGAATTTCTATCTGAAGATATATTTCTTTAATGTCACAAGCAACAGCTACAGGGTTACGACGGAATCTCATCAGGACATTGAACAGATCTTGCTGCAGTTTTGGGCCTGCATGGATAACATCGTTCAGAGAAATCCCATCATGTTTAGCTGAGCAATCAAAAACTATGCGAACTTTGGTTGTTGACTTATCCATTCTAACGATGGGAAAATGAGGCAGGTACCAAGCTCCAGGCAGTTCTTTGGCTGGATCAATCTTTCGGAGGTAGCCTTCCTTCAAGTATGCTTCGATAGTGCTTTGGTACTCTTCACCAACGGTCGGATTCTTCATTAGATTTTTCTCAGCCATAGTCCGGTTGTTTGGCAACTGTGGTTGTGCTTTCTTCCACGGTGTTCCGACTTGATATCTTCCATCAACAATCCGCAACGACTCTCCAACTTTACTAAGGGCTGACTTTTCCTCTTGTGTTAGTATCTTTGTATTCACCTCGGTTCCTCCACGTTCAATCTCCCAAAAATTTCTCAATGTTTCGTCCAGGTTACAGCAGTCTGGATTGGCGAAGATTGTTGCCTGTTTCGTGCAAAGTGTTCTCATCACATGCGATCTCACGATTGATTTTCCATTCTTCTCTGGGGGTCCTATACAGGTCCATCCGAGTGGTCCCCATCGTGCCACTGGCTCGCCTTGCGATCCTTGAAAATCAACTACGGAAAAGTGTAATTCTGGATTATCCACTCCAATCAACAGGTCAACGAATGTCTTTTTCGCTGGCGTTGGGAAGTTGCACGGACGTAAGTGTGGCCAATCCTTCTGGTATTGGTTCCTATCTACTACACGGTAGTTCCCAGTAACTTCATGTGGGCAAGTTATAACATTAATTTCTTTCGAAAACTGACGATCTGTACTCTCAATCTCGACTTGCAAAGGTATGGATTTAAAGGTCTCCACTGCATCATTCAACACATGGACTTGCACATCTAGTCTAGGACCTGTATATGAGTTTGTATGCATTTCATTTAGGACAGATAATCTCAACTGTTTTAGGGCAAGTTGACCATGACGGTCAACATGGTAACGCTGCCCGAACCCCAATCCGGGACGAAACGTCCGAAACTGACCACACCCAAAAACGACGCTTTCGCCATACTGCTATCTACCAAACCATAAAAGCTTGGGCTATTCTGAGGTGCTTACATGGTTCAGAGATGGTACTATTGGGGGTGGTCATTGGTAAGTGTGAAATGCCTAGCACTAATATTTCACAAGAAAATGGCCATGCAATAATCATAGTTAAACGTCAATTTGTGGCTTCCAAATTCTGATAAACAGCAGTGGACTTACATTACCTTTTTCCCTAAATCTTTTTGATAGAAACATAAATGGTACTTATTTAAATATATTATCACTGGTTTGTTGTAAAATAGTTAATATTTTCTGACCGAAATAATAATTTGAAATGTGCCTACCTCCTGCAAATGGACGTATTTGGCCAAGTTCTCCACTTTACTCCGCTGTTTATCGGCGATCTCGTCGACATCCTACAAAAAATGTAAATCATCTCAGACATATTGGTATCAAGAACATTTTAAAACAAGTTTCAACTTGGTTTCAAGTAGATCATACCTGTTTAACCATCGACAAGGTAAATCCACAACTTTGTCCAAATTCGGCGCCATTTTGTCATCCCATGTCGCTTGTTAACAATTCAGCCTTGTTACTCTTCCATCCAAGCCATTTCCATTCCACTAATAATAAATTTAACCCTTTATAACAGGAGGAAACTAAAAATCTAAACAAAACATAAGAAATTCGCCATTTTATCACCCTGTAAAATTTCGCTCACGAGTCTTTCAAAACATTCCGTACAAATCTCGCGTGGTTTAGCAACAGGGACTTGCAGGGGGGTAGAGACTTGAAAAATGAAAGCCCATACAGTATGGTAAAACCAGCAATCAACATTTAATTTGTATGACTTTTTTATATTAATAAATAATAAATGCATATATTTGTCACTACAAGAAATAAAACAAACATTTGTATGATTGTATTTAGCTTTTAGTCTATTTCACGCAGCCTTCTTCTATCTTCGTGAAATAATTCACCCCCTCCTGTCACGTCCCTGTTACTTTGTCACGCGATATTTGTACGGAATGTTTTGAAAGACTCGTGAGCGAAATTTTACAGGGTGATAAAATGGCGAATTTCTTATGTTTTGTTTAGATTTTTTAGTTTCCTCCTGTTATAAAGGGTTAAATTTATTATTAGTGGAATGGAAATGGTGATAACAAACCAGTGATAATATATTTAAATAAGTACCATTTATGTTTCTATCAAAAAGATTTAGGGAAAAAGGTAATGTAAGTCCACTGCTGTTTATCAGAATTTGGAAGCCACAAATTGACGTTTAACTATGATTATTGCATGGCCATTTTCTTGTGAAATATTAGTGCTTGGCATTTCACACTTACCAATGACCACCCCCAAAAGTACCATCTCTGAACCATATAAGCACCTCAGAATAGCCAAAGTTTTTATGGTTTGGTAGATAGCAGTATGGCGAAAGCATCGTTTTTGGGTGTGGTCAGTTTCGGACGTTTCGCCCCGGATTGGGGTTCGGGCAGCATTACCATGTTGACCGTCATGGTCAACTTACCCTAAAACAGTTGAGATTATCTGTCCTAAATGAAATGCATACAAACTCATATACAGGTCCTAGACTATAATATGAAAAGTATAAAATCTTTTAAAGTTATGCGTGCTCTAGAAAGGTACTATAGAGAGTTATTGTATTGGTGAGTATGTTTCACAGTCCAATAACTGCGAACAAACGTATCTGCGTGGGTAGTGAATATGTTTCACTGTCCAACAACTGCGAACAATCTAAAGTATGTATACTTTTTCATAATTTCATTATATCTTGGTGTGTATTATAACGGTTTTTACGTACTATTTAAAACACGCGTAAGAGTACTGTATGACCAATTAAGTGCCCAATACCAAGTTGTATTCGAAATTGTACTGTAGGAAGTACTGAAAATAGTCATGTTTAATGTTATTGTTGTTGTGTCTAGTGTTTTAAGGAGGACCAGATTGGAAAAAAAGTTGTAACTTTATCTGTTTATCCTCAATAAATAAAGTGTTATTATTATTATTATTAAATATAAAATTCATAACTATCTTACACTCCAGCTGATCTCGTGTTCGTATTTTAGCCAATCAGCGCTCAGAAAGGGTTGTCCGAATAGAAATCCATTTTGATGTATTCAGTCAATTATATCTTTCGTTATTCTTTATGAAACTAGTTGAAATTTTGTAATTATGTTTGGTTATGAGAACTATAGCTCTGACAAAAATATGGAATCGAAATTAAGTATATTACAGGAGATATTCAGTTGTTTTAATCATAAAATGGATTTCTATTTGACAACTAGTGCCAGTACTTTTCCGCGTATCAAGATCACCTGGCTATAATTAAGAAATTTACTAACAAATGCTAATAACAAATATTTGGATAATTAACGGCTTTTCTTAATATATTTAGAGTACATGGTAAAGCCGAAAAATCGCTAGAATACTGTTGTTTAGTAGCATACTTGACATCCGTAAGTACAATTTCTTACGCTGAATCGAACGGTGGTATTGTTGTCCTTATTGGGCGCATAAAAGCAGAGAAATGGCGCAGCAAAAAGTCAATCGTGAGAGTCCGAGATTAATTGGAAAGAAAACTTTCCTCGAAAAAAGGAATTCAGAAAATATGAAAGGAGCTAGTATTTTGAGCGGCTTTTGTCTTTCGAAAGCCATGCTGAAATAGAAATCAATTTTGAAATCAATTTTCCTTTCATAAATACAACTTTTACTTTGATTCGAACAGTGGTATTTTTGTCCTTGTTTGGCACATAAAACCAGAGATAAAGGCTAAGCCCAGCAAACAGTCGGAGATTAATTAATTTTCCCGCAAAAGTGATTAAATTCAGAGGGCATATGGTAGAACGCGTACTGGACTGGGTAAAACGCGGACTGGACTCTATTAGTAAAATGCAGACTGGACTCTATTAGTAAAATGCAGAACTGGACTCTATTAGTAAAATGCAGACTGGACTCTATTAGTAAAACGCGGACTGGACTCTATTAGTAAAATGCAGACTGGACTCTATTAGTAAAATGCAGACTGGACTCTATTAGTAAAATGCAGACTGGACTCTATTAGTAAAACGCGGACTAGGGCCACAATTTCGCGCCAAAATTCGACCAAAATGGGACAAAATGGCAGCGAGTTATAAAATCCCAAGAAGTCTGAAAAGAAAGGCAAAAAAGGAACCAGAGTTGCCAAAGTTTGAGTGGAAACTTTTCGAAAAAGAAAAGAAGTTGGGTTGCGGTACGTTTGTGTCCGTATACCTAGGAAAATACAAAGGAAAACCTGAACTAAAAGTCGTTACCAAAAAGAATAATGTCGAGCGGTCCATTGACTTGGAAATCCTGTTTCGTGAAAGAAGCCACACTGTTGAACAGTACAGAAGGCCACAGGGACGCCGGAACGATGTGAAGGCAAGGGGGGCAGATTTTCGTGAAAGGGCACTTGAATTGACACATAAAGAGATGTTTGCAAAACATCGGGAGTTGAACTTCGCCTAATCATGTTTTCTATTTATTGGTGATGATAGGGGTGTGAGGGGGTTCTCCGCCAGGCGATTGTGCTATTCTTGAAGCTCGATGACTGCATTTCTTGCGTTTTCTGAAGCAGATTCGTAAAAGAATCGCACTAACATTTCTGACAATTCCCTATTTCGCCAAGGCAATCCTTTAAATTGAAAGGGCACCTTTGCTCCCCTTGCCCCTCCTGGTAAAGGGCAACGGGGGCGGCTGCCCCTCCTGCCCCCAGTTCCGGCGTCCCTGACAGGAACATAATCCGGTTCCTTGGATTTTGTGAAGAACCATACTCAATAACGATGGAGTATTCTTGCTTCGATTTTCGCCGGTTTACAGAGTTGCAAAAAGCCTTTGCACTCTAGAAGATTTTGTCCATTTCGTAGACGACGAGTTTGACTTTGCTTCTTCGCAGACTTGTTATTGGGTTGTTTTTTATAATGTGTGCAAATGCGACCAATGAAATAACCGTTTTGGCTTCCCCGAACTTAGTTTTCTTAGTTCCTTTCCTAGTTCCTTTCTTTTCTTGCATTTTTTGGCTTGACCTTGCATTTTTTGGCTTGCATTTTTTTGCATCAAGTATGTCAATATGTCATACATCTTTGACATTGTCTGATTATACTTGAAAAAGCCTACACTGAATGAAAATCACAACTTGCATGTTAGACTAAATTTTAATCAAAGTAAAGAGAAGGGAATCAAACACGACAGCTAAAAAGAACATAATGAAATTAGTCAAACTCCAAAATTTGGTTGCGACATTATATAAAGCTTGGAAAATATAGCCTTGCAAAGTTTGCAAAATTTGTATATGTTTGTAGTTAATATACATGGGAATATTGTTACCATTTTCGGCTCAAAAATGGTAACAATTTCCGCACGTATTGAATACAAACATACACAAAATATGCAAACTTCGCAAGGCTATATTTTCCGTACTTTGACAATATTTCGTAACCAAATTTTGCAATTTTAGTAATATTAATAAGTTCTTTATGGGAATTTACTTTTTAGTGCCTAGAACCGACAAAAATTAGTCTAACATGCAAGTTGTCTATTGTTGATGCATTCCAATCAAAATTAAGTAGTGCAAAGAGATTATCTTAATTTATAATATTTATTAAATGCGGATGCTGATACAGAACTCATCAGTGATATTCTTGCAGTGCAAATATTTCAAACCTGCGACAACATCTTTGGCACATGTTGGCAGCAACTCTGCAAAGGAGGCAAAATCAAACTCGTCGTCTACGAAATGGACAAAATCTTCTAGAGTGCAAAGGCTTTTTGCAACTCTATAAAAGGGCGAAGAATACTCCATCATTATTGAGTATGGTCCTTCACAAAATCCAAGGAACCGGATTATGTTCCTGTGGCCTTTTGTACTGTTCAACTGTGCGCCGGGCTTCTTTCACGAAACAAGATTTCGAGTCAATGGACTGTACATTATTTTTTTTGTTTTCCTATAGGGACTATAGGTATACGGACACAAACGTACCGCAACCCAACTTCTTTTCTTTTTCAAAAAGTTTCCACTCAAACTTTGGCAACTCTGGTTCCTTTTTGCCTTTCTTTTTAGACTTCTTGGGATTTTAAAGCTCGCTCGCTGGTCGAATTTTGGCGCGAAATTGTGGTCCTAGTCCGCGTTTTACTAATAAAGCCCAGTCCGCGTTTTACTAATAGAGTCCAGTCCGCGTTTTACTAATAGAGTCCAGTCCGCGTTTTACTAATAGAGTCCAGTCCGCGTTTTACTAATAGAGTCCAGTCCGCGTTTTACTAATGAGTCCAGTCCGCGTTTTACTAATAGAGTCCAGTCCGCGTTTTACTAATAGAGTCCAGTCCGCGTTTTACTAATAGAGTCCAGTCCGCGTTTTACTAATAGAGTCCAGTCCGCGTTTCACTAATAGAGTCCAGTCCGCGTTTTACTAATAGAGTCCAGTCCGCGTTTTACTAATAGAGTCCAGTCCGCGTTTTACTAATGAGTCCAGTCCGCGTTTTACCAGTCCAGTCCAGTCCGCGTTTTACCATATGCCAATTCAGAGCACGTGCAAGGAATTTTTACTAGTATAACTAACAAACAAACAAATAGCCTGCGAACAGGCTCTCAAGGTGAAATGAGAGCCTGCACTGATGATATACAATTTTGAATATCTGCCCCGTAACGTTCGTTTTTTCAAATATGGAATGTCTATCCTTATATGGTGTTGTTTACAACTTTCGTGGAAATTAAATTTAGACCGCGCAAACTAAATTTAGACCGTACAGTTTATACTGTTTTTCAAAATATAAGATATTCAAGCAAAAGTTTAAATGTTTTAAATACTGTTTTCTCTGTGGGCAGTGTGACCAGACGTGGTAATTTCATTACTACCGTGGTCATTTTTCGTCATTTTTGGACAATTGTGGTAATTGGAAATTTGTGGTAATTACCAATGTCATTTCAGAACTACCGTGGTAATTTTTCGTCAATTTCGGCCGATTATGTTATTTTCTGCGGTTCGCAGATTAGCAGAAAATTGATGTTTCCACGGTTCATCAAACACGTGACTGCCATGTTCATTGGCAGGGCGCCAAAGTGGTCACATGATTTGGGAAGCTCATTCTAGTCTGGCACTGCATCAACACACACAAAATTTTTTACAAACAGTACTTTCAGTATTTTTACATTTATTATAAACCATCAACAAATCAAAACGGGCACAATGAACGAAGAATTGAGAACAGAACTCCAGAAACAACAGGAGTCTATGCTGGAAAAGCTGTCGGCCGTCATGGATACGAAAGTGGGCCAGATGAAGCGTGAGCTGGAAGAAGTGGCCAACAAAGCACATTCCTCGCAAATGACAGAACTCAAGCGAATGAAGTTCTCGGAGCCGCCGTCTTTCAAGAAGAAAGGTCACGAAGTGCAGTACAAACATAACGAGCGAGTAAAACTTTGTATCACCGAGGCAGAGGACGCAATCAAAGACAAGAAGTTAGACACGTGTCTCGAAAAGCTGAGTGAAGGTAAGGAGCAAATCGAGTCGAGACAAAAGCTAATTCTTCTTGCAGACAAATCCGAGTATGGGTGGAAAACCGTATCAGAATATCTCGATAACGAGCTTGCCGACGACGAGGAGGACGCCAAAAAGATCAAGAAAGCCGAAAAAGAGGCCCAAAGAAAGCTTAACGAGACAAGAAACGCAAAGAAAACTCGCGCCAGCAGTCGCGGTGGATTTTCCTGGTCGCGACGAGGATCTTTCAATGGCGGACGAACCTGGGTTTCCCCGTATTTAGGGCCACATCAACAGCCAGCACCATCGACTTATCCCAACAACCATCTCTACAGTAGTACAGTTGGAAAGAAACCAGGGGTCTGTTTCTCGTGTGGTAAAGCTGGCCATTGGAGCCGTGAATGTCCTCTAACCACCGGGTTGTCGAATGAAGTACAGCAGAGTGGAGGCGCCGTACGAAAGTTAAGTGTAATTTCGTCAGATTATGAGGGGCTAGACGAAGATGTAGGTTCCTTTCCCAATGTGTTGGGCGAGGATAGTGAGTTAGAGCGCTTTGCACAGGACAATGATACCCTGCTTGAGGAAGGGGAATTTTCCCAGGGTGATCCCAATCAGGGCCATGTGGGGGGCAGACTAAGGGAACACATTTCCTCTTGGGAGGCTCTACAACCTCCTGAGTATGTACTCAAAATTCTCCGGCAAGGGTACATCCTTCCTTTGACTACAATACCAGAACCCCAGATCCTTCGGAACAACAAAACTGCTTTGGAAAACGAGTCTTTCGTAACTGAAGCTATCACTGACTTATTAGCTTGTCAGAGCATAGCTATGGTGGATCTCCCCCCTCTAGTGGTCAACCCTTTGTCAGTGGCCACAAACGCTAGGGGTAAGAAACGTTTAGTCTTAGACCTCAGACACGTCAACCCTCACTTACACAAACTAAAATTTAAATGCGAGGATGTTGACACAGCAGTACTCTTACTGAATCCTGGTGATTTCTTGTTCACATTTGATATCAAGAGTGCATACCATCATATAGAAGTTTTTAAAGTTCATCAAACATATTTAGGTTTTCAGTGGGTTTATAACGGCAAGCCCCAATATTTTATTTTTCGGGTTCTGCCCTTTGGGCTTTCTACTGCACCTCTGGTGTTTACTAAAATTTTAAAACCAGTACTTCGACATTGGAGGTCCTCAGGTAAAAGAGTCTGCATGTTTCTGGATGATGGCTTAGGGGGTAGTTCATCACTACAGAGTGCCACCATAGTCTCACAGGCAGTCAAGAGAGATCTGATTCAGTTAGGGTTCCTCCTCAGCGAGAGTAAGTGTTTTTGGGAACCAATGCCGATACAAACATGGCTTGGCCACATTTTTAATATGTCTCTTAATCAGTTGTTTGTTACCGAAACACGGTTACAGAAATTGGAACAATCGCTAGATAACATCTTAGGGTGCCCCAAAAAAGTAACGGCGAGACAACTGGCAGCAGTAGCAGGGCAAATAGTGTCCATGTCCCGGGCTATAGGCCCAAAAGTTTATCTGTATACACGCCATATGTATTTCGCTATAGAGACTAGGGAACATTGGGGATCCATTTTGTCATTCAATTCTAAACTCACAACAGAATTACAGTATTGGGTAAGCAATGTCCGCACCCTTAACGGTAGGGACATGTTCAGAGAACCACAGCTTTTTGACACCATCGTGTACTCAGATGCCTCAGACCAAGGGTATGGGGGCTATGCGATTTCCAACCATCAGACACTGGTCTGTCAGGGACACTGGTTGGAAAGCGAGAGAGGGACGAGTTCCACTTGGCGGGAACTTAAGGCAGTACATAACATGTTGTTAGCAATAGGAAAGAACTTATGTAATCACCTGGTTCAATGGTACACTGACAATCAAAATATCATACACATTTTAGCTAGGGGCAGTAGAAAACAAGAATTGCAGAGTTTAGTGGAAGCAGTGATAGAGTCAAGTAGTGGATTTGGTATTCAGATCAGCCCAATTTGGGTCCCAAGGGAGGAAAACCAATTAGCCGATTATCTCAGCAAACTGTCTGATGGTAACGATTGGGGCATCCACCCACATATTTTTAATTGGATCGATTCCATGTGGGGGCCATTCACGGTAGACAGGTTTGCTACCTGTTATAACACCAAGTGTGCTCGATTTAACTCGCGTTTCTGGAACCCGAACTGTGAAGGGGTCGATACTTATACGATAAGTTGGGCAGGGGAAAACAACTGGGTAGTTCCCCCACCTAATCAGATTATCAAGGCATGGAAACATTTCCAAATTTGCAGAGCACGGGGAGTTTTAATAGTACCTCTATGGAGAGGGTCAACTTTCTGGCCAAGCATATGCCCAGACGGCACTCATTTAGCTCAGTGTGTGACAACTTGGGCTGGCATCCCAGAGTGGAACCACCCAGCCACAGTACCTGGCAGATCCCATAACACCGTTTTCAATGGCGATGTACTGCCCTTTAAATTAATTGCACTCTATATTGATTGGCAAACATGCAAGAAAAGGACATCAAACAGAGGTTTCTGTATGACTCCTTCCGGTATGTGTACAGAATGCATATAGCTCAGCATAGACTTCTGGGGATGGTTTCTTCCACAGGTGGTTGTCATATCAAGCCTTAAGTTTTTACAGTCCACAGGTGACTATTTTCCCACAGGTGGTAGTAATCTCAGGGGATTACAGAATAATTTCAGGGGATTCCCACCGGTGGAAAGAAAGTGAATTTGGTAATGGCTCAGTCCCCCGTTCTTGACATCTGGTTTTCGTTAAGCATTGGCAATATCTTTGTGCAGGAATGGGTCGGGCCTGTTCTCGCGAGTCCCAATTTATGATATTTTAGTATACCTATATGCTTTCTTTGTTTTCACAGGCTTAAACTTGTTTGACCAGGGGTTTTGGAAAGAATTACAGCAAAAGACGTTATCCAGTGGAGAAACACACCTGTTTGAGTTACTTAAGAAAACAGCTCTTCATGCTAAAGCAGAGGGAACTGTCACAAACTATACAAATAGTTTACGTAGATGGATAGAATTCGCTAGAGTTAAAAGTTTCAATGTTTTTCCAGCATCGGTTATAGATGTTTCGCTGTTCATATCGCATTTATCCTCTAACTACAAATCATCCTCAGTTATTCAATCTAGTTATTGTGCCCTTAAATGGGTTCATGATATTGCAGGGATACATAACCCCATGGAAAACAAATTTCTTCAAAATTTGGTGGAGGGTGCCAAAAGAGAGCATGCCAAACCAGTTTCCAAAAAGGCTCCTGTTACCAGTGAGGCCCTAGAGGAGTGTTGTACAAAGTATCAGGGTTGTGACACATGCACTCACTGTGAGAGACATCTCTATGGCATTGCTATTGTTCGCTGGGTTTCTTAGGTACAACGAGATTGCAGACCTCAAAATTTAAGATGTGGTCATCTGCGACACTCATTTGCAACTAACAATAAGAAAAAGCAAAACAGACCAATACAGGAAAGGCAATGAACTGGTCATTCAGAGGTCGAACAAAATTACGTGCCCAGTACTTAATCTTGAAAAGTACATGCGAGTTGCTTCCATCAGTTTAGATCACAGTGCAAATTTTTTATTCAGGCCGGTAACCCATACCAAAGCAGGGTACAAGCTAATCGACCGAAACAAACCCCTTAGTCAAACTAGAGCACGGGAATCTATCATCGGTAGACTGCAGGAGTTCATGGGAGATGCCAACATTTCCTTGCACTCATTCTACCAAAGCAGCCAATGCCCAAGTGTCCGACCGATGCTGGAAACGACATGGCAGATGGAAGTCTGATACAGCCAAGGACGGTTACGTAGAAGATTCACTCGACAATCGCCTACAGGTTTCCAAGGCACTAGGGGTTTGAATTTCTATGCTCTGACCCTTTCTAACTTTATCCAAGTCTTGTCGGGTGCAGCAGCTGGCAACCTTATTAGAAACGTTGAAATTGTTGTGTTATTTCTTTAGGGTTGGGGAAATAGGGTAAACATGTTATTTTCTGCGGTTCGCAGAATAGCAGAAAATTGATGTTTCCACGGTTCATCAAACACGTGACTGCCATGTTCATTGGCTGGGCGCCAAAGTGGTCACATGATTTGGGCAGCTCATTCTAGTCTGGCACTGCATCAACATATACAAAATTTTTTACAAACAGTATTTCACCAGCAAAATTTACCAAAGGTTTTAGGTTCTTGGGAATTCTTACATAGGTCGTAAACAGATTATTTAGAGTTTAATGTTGTTAGCTAATGCTTGTATGTTGGTCAATCTTACACCCTCGAGATTGTTATTTAGAGCCTGAATCTGCATTCGGGAGGGTCCAGGTTTCCCCACAGGGGTATTTCCTGGCGGGCAGCAGGCTCACTTAGTATAGTATTCGTAACGTTTGGCGATTAGATAGCCGAGAACATTACACAGGGATGTGTTGTATTAAATAGGAGAAAAAAAGGAAATAAAGTTAAGGTGGGCGGCGAGCATTCTTCTAGTCGGGTGCAGCAGCCAGCTATCTTATTAGAAACGTTGAAATAGTTGTGTTATTTCTTTGGGTTGGGGAAATAGGGTAAACTTAGCCTTTCGCATGCTTAATTGATGCCTTTACCTAATTTGCATATTGCTGACATATGCAAATTAGGCAAATACATTAATTAGCATGCAAATGGTGATTTTTTAAGAAAAAATGTAAGTTTGCGTGAATGGTTAAAGGGCGTAAACTGAAGCAAATTGTCTGAAATTTTGTACAGTAATTAAACACTCAACAAAATTTCCATCTATTAACTAATAATATGATTACTGTAAAGCTTTTAAATTTCGTGCGCAAGCCATTTTTAGTTTGTTGGAAAAGGCCCCCCCCCCGGTTCACAAAATTTGAGTTCGAGAAATTTTTTCCATTTTTCTACATTATAAGTACCCAAAGAAGCTATATACATCAAAAACTGGATACTAATAGCTGTTTTGCGAATTTAAAAGCAATTTCAAATCTGTGCAGTTTTTTTTTTTATACACCCTGTATACAAAAGACACAAAACAGCACACGCATTATATGCGTGCATCGAATGTACATATTTCACGGAATGGTCTACTTTCCAGACCCCGTTGAAGATATAAGAAATCCATTAAATAAATAATGCTTATAAACGACTAAGTCATTTTAAGAAGTAACGTTTTACTTCGTTATTTTCATTTTGTGGCGAAGTATTTCGTTACTTTCTAACTTTTGTTTAATTTTACGTGATTTATTTCTGATTTATTTTAATTTCGGGATAGGTAATACGACCTCTACATGCGTCTGGGATCTCTCGTTTGTGACTTACTTATAATTCGTTCCAAGTAAAAGTACTCCAGAAAAAGTTTACTTTGTTACATGCTCACTTCTCAAAAACAGTACTCAAGTACAGTAACGAAGTACATTTGCTTCGTTACTTGACACCACTGCTGGTGATAAAGGGTAGATTTTCAATAAAATACGAATATCTGTATACAAGATCTGAGCGTTAATATTATGAAGCACTCGATACTTTCTCCAACAACATATTGCGTTTAATATTGTACAAAACTAAAAATATTCACATATTAAATGGCAAAGAAATGTTGGCATACCTAAGTTATACCTTACACGTCGATTAAATCCAATTAAAAAACTCATTAATAATTCAGGAGCAAAACACAAAGAAAAATCATAAGCGTGTCGTGGTTTTATATGTGATAAAAAAAATGTTAATTTACATAAACTTTAGCTTTGATTTTCTCGGTTTAGACAAAGTTTATTTTAAAAATTACTTCGCCAATGAACTCGTATAAGATGAGTCGTTTTTTAAGCCATTTAAAGCACTCGTAGTGGTGTTTTATCACATATAAAACACTCCGCTACGCGTCGTATTTTATATGTGATAAAACACTCCTACTCGTGCTTTAAATAGTACTTCAAACACTCATTAATAATTCATAAGCTTATTGGCGAATCATGTCAACCATAATATATGTCACGTGCAGTGGCTTTAAACCTGATAAAACACTCCTAATTAGTATTCTTTATATAAAGAATACTAATAAGGCAGTATCTATTGTTGTCGTGTCCTCATTAGTATTCTTTATATAAAGAATACTAACAAGGCAGTACATCTATTGAATTTGTATAGTCGTGTTTGAAGCCGTTTAATAAACTCACAAATCGTGTTTTATTAGGTCTAAAGCTACTCGCGCTGCGCGCTCTTGACTTTAAACCTTATAAAACACTTCTGCTCGTTTATTAACAGTTAAACAGTACGTAAAGCCCTTTCAAAGACGCGTGCCACATTAAACTACAGGTCACATGGCGGTAGAGAACTCGACGAAGTATTCAGGACATTTCATGCATAGCCAGTACAAACGCCGCTGTGTACTATTCCTGTGAATTATGATGCCCAACACACCGGGTAACAAAATTTACCACTTTGTTCGGCTGTTCCAAGTACACTTTTAAGATATATACAAGGTCCGATCATATCATGTTCTTCGAAACATATGCTCAAAACAGTCCAACATAAATATCGCCACTCATCTTCTTCGTATGAAAATATAAGTTTTCCTTTCAATTGCTTTGCTTTAAAAACAGTCATTATAATTAGGTTGTTGAAGAGTTAGTCTATAACATCCAACAAAAAACCCAGATGCTTTCAAAAACCAGTGAATCACAATGCTGTAAACTTCAACATCCTTTATAGAAATTGTACGCCAAACATTGAAAAGCAATTAAAATTTGCTGGGAAAAGCTCACGAGCGCGCATTATTTTTACGCAGCGTCGACCAAAGTCCCCTCAGCTCAACAGGTGGGAAATTTGTCTGCGCATGCGCTACAGTTTGCGCGGTTTAAGAGAAAGAGACTTGGGGCGAGTAAATATAGTAATTTGATTTTTGAGCGTTTTATTGGCATTTTTAGGTCTTTTTTTCTGCTAACCAAAAAATTGTTAATCTATTGCATTGTTGGGAAGACGAGAAAGGTATGAGAACGTTCAGAGGCTAAAAGAATATATAAAATTGCAACTTTTGCGTAACCTTATACATCGGAACTGGCTCGGATTCAGATGGAAATGTCCAATAATTCCTACTATTCCGTATTTTTAGATGAATGAATTATCTCCCAATATTAAGTACATCTTTTAAGGAGTAGTTTAAACCATATTTGGTTTTGAGGCTCTCGACTAGATTCTAAAATATTTAATTTTTTTATTTCATTGTGCTAACTTTACCCCCATAAATCACCCCGTATTAAATTGGAGAGAGATGGAAACGTATTCGCATGATTTCAACACTGCTCATATTTTCTGAATCAATAGACTCTAATCTTTCAATGGATATGCTTTTATGAACAGGATTAGCAAACAGGTGCAATTTCTAGCGGAATATTCAGAGGCACCTATATTCAGACTATTACAGACTATATTAAAAGGTTGTGCTGTTTTTGGTATCAACCCGTATTTTCATATGAACAATACATTGACTTAGTGAATTAAGAAATCTTTGAAGAATAATTTAGAGATAGTCTCGTTTCGAGGCTCTCGACTAGATTTTTTACAATCTTAAGTTGATTTTATTTTTTTAATTTCATCTGTCCAGGGAGTGAAAACAACTTGCATCACCGAAAAAAGTTAAATTTCGTCAATATTTCGTCGTAGAAATAAATAGTTTATAATTGTCCGATTTCAGTTTAAAATCTTTTGTCAAGGACATTTTTCAACAGCCTTTGAATAAACGAATTTAAATTCTTGCACATCCACTGTTTTCGTCCCTAACGAGAAGACCGGAAACTTGTTTCTGCTC